GAGAGGATGTGGAGCCAGCAGTTGAGTGAAAGGTTAAAAGCTGCCAGGTTGGAGGCTGCTCCTGTGGTGCTGACCAGTTTGGCGATTTCGCGCTCATCCTCTTCTCCCCCGCACACACTCAGAGCGGTGAGAGGTCCGGACGCGTTGCTGTTGCTCTGCATGATGCTGCAGAGGAAAAACAGGCGAGTTACTTTTTCTTTTTTTTTCTTTTTTTTTAAAGCAAGTTCCGCAGGTTTCCGTCCTGTTTCAGATTAACTTCCAGAGTGGGGCTGTAGGCGAGAGTGGATGCAAAAATCCGCATCGTCTTCATCCTGCGTTTAGGGTTCAAAGTCTCAGCGGGAGATCAGAGTTTCTCAGTTAATCCGAGTGATTTCTAAAAGTGTATCTGCTCGCATTTTATTGTTTTTCCAAGCGGAGCGGGGAAAGGGTGTAAATATGAAATTAATATGTAGCAGGTTACTTTGGAGCGTCCGGCCTGATGCACCTTCCTCCTCTCTCAGTGATGCTGACAGCATCCACAGACTGGAGGCTTTTATACTCGCTGACGCTCTTCTCCGCCGCTCGGTGGCGCACAGGTACGGCTTCGACATACAATATTACTACACTTTTCTGGTTATTACAGCAGATACTGGGAAGGAATAAGATCCACTCACTCTTTTAATTTTTTTTTTTTTTTTTTTTTAAGATACAATCAGATGAATTTAAAGGTTACTTTGTGCGCAATACCTAATCACCCATGAAACAAACAGGGAAAGGCTTGTGCTGTTTGGAAATAATAATTTAGCAGTCTGATATACTGCAGAACATTAAGTGTTTTCTGAGTTGTCTTGGTTATTATTGGTTTGCACAAAACATGTATTTCAGGCGATGTTTCTGCTTTCTTTAAATTAAAGCTGTGGTGCAGGTCATCATCTGCCATCTTACATCTACAGTATTTTTTTTCTCTCTTTTTGATGGAGCCATCTAAACACAGCCTCAGATGTTATGTCCAAATATCACCCTTAAAATCCTTGCTATGATGTGAAGGTAAATTATACAGGATGGTATTTCGGTTAGTTTAGCCTACAAGGGTTTGTTAATGTTTATCTGAAATGAACATCAGAAGAATGATGAATTAGATTTCAAACAGCTCTCAGTCTTTGTGTGGGAGCCAGGGAAGAGAGAGAGAGAGACGTGTGTGTTTTTGATTAGCATTTCTTATAGGTCAGTGTTGGCATTCTCATAATGCATCACTGTGGCCAGATGTGTTTAGCCAAGGAGAGATTCTGTCATTCTCTCAAGCTTCAACAGGACAGACTGGACTCGCTTGGACAGTCTGTAACTTATCACTCAATTTGCATAAATCTTTCACGTGCCTTTTTGGGATTTAGTAAAGAATTTGTCCAACAGCAGCGTGTGTGATGTGCAAACTGCAACACCTCACCAGTTTGCACTGAGGGACATTAAATAAATGATGGTCTCCTCTAAAATGTTGTCTAGTCAAGACATTTGGAGGCAATTTATTCTCATCCCTGCTTCTCTTTCTGATTTCATAAACAGTCTGGAACAACCTCAAACTCAAACAACGCTAATTTGTTGACAGTTTCCATTTTTCTCCTTTAATGTTCTCCAAATATTAAGATATGGTTAGAGTCCGACCCTGGAGCTCTCTGTTAGCTCTCATTTCCATTCTGCTGAAGCTTTCTTAGATGCTTAAAGATATTTTATTTCAATTCCATCAGTTTGTGTTTGTTTTTCACTTAAAAAACAAAGGGGTAGGGAGGGAGATATTGACATCGAGTGTCTTTGTTTATGGCCTAGATAAATATATGTGAGTAACAATAAAGCTGAAGATCATTTTTGTTCTTGTTTGACAGTAAAAATGGGGAAAATACTTTTGATAATACAGTTATTCAGGTTCAGATTTGCGTCTGACTAAAGTTCAGTGGTCTCCCTTCGGTAGAGAGAGCCTCTCACAGACACAGTGATTTGAATTCACTTTCTGAATGATTCCCTCCACGTTGCTGCAATGCATAAAATATAGCAGCAGTGATAAGCAGAGATCCAATCAGCATCTCTAATTGTGTCCTTGCGTCAGAGTGGGCCATTAAACATGGCGTTTAATTTAGCTCCTCAAGCAATCAAAGTATGGGCAGAAAATATATTTTTTAAAAATCATCAGAAAGAAAGAAACATTTGTAAATGCCACTGCACATGATTGCAGAATTAAAAATATTTCTGCTTCCCTGCTCAAGATTTCATGAAACTACAAATGGACAAATTAATCTTATAATAATAATAATAATAATAATAACGTTCTACGCTTTTCAGCCTCAGCCATAGCAGTGTCTCTGCTTAACTCTTGCACGATTGATTTTCTGATTGAATTTCTACCTACATGTATAACTCTTTATCACACCACCACAACCCACTGCTTAAACAGTCGGATCAATAATTCATTTATCACTCCCACTGTGGATAATGTACCTGCACTTTTGGTTCAGGTTAGTTGAAATAATTCTGTTTTCACAGTGTAAAGTTTTGCTTACCTCCTCAGTTCTCATAGCAGCTTGGACAAACGGCACTAAGCGAGGATTGTTAAATGAAATAACCCCTGTTCTGCAAACAGGGCTGTGAAAAAATGTAAAATTTGCTGAGGCTTTAAGTCCAAATGCCCCCAGCAGAACAACACCCACCTCAGGCATTTTTATTTGCCACCAACCAAACTGTTTTCAGACTAGGCTATTGCAAAATTGTTTATGTCATTCATTCATATACCTGCTGGGTTATATTTTCTAATAATCCTTCGCTCCATATATTATGGTTTGGTGCCAGGTATGTAACCCTGGTGGAGACTACTAAATTCCTTTCATTTTATTTGAATTTATTTAGCTTTTAGCCACGGTAGCAACCTGGCTCTAAACACAATGTCTGTTGTCCAGTCTGTTCACCACTTTGGTCCAGACTGAAATATCTCAACAACTATGGATGGATTATCATAGTATTTTGTACAGACAGTGGAGGATGAATCCAGATGACTTTGATGATCCTCTGATTTTTAACTTTGAACTGTCACTTTTCATCCAGCGCAATGTTTATTTATTTTTTTGTCAAACTTTGGATTATTGCTAAAATGAATCACATTCCCATCAGCCTTAGCGATACTTTGTGGCCAATAAGCATATGTTAATATGCTAATAAGATAGAATTACATGGCGAACACGACAAACATTATACCTGCAAATCATCAGCATGTTAGCATTTGCATAGAGAGCATGTTGGCTAGCAGGCATTAGCATTCACCTCAAAGCACCTTAGATACAGCTTCACAGCGCTGCTAACACAGCTGTAGATTCTTAGTGTTGTTTGCTTGTCAAATTTAATCTAAAACATCAGGATCAACTTTTTAAAACCCAACAGTTGTGTAATATCCATGGGATTGTAGAATGTAAGGTATTATTCATCTCATTATATGGATTAGAGTTTTAATGTACTGTCTGTGTGAAGCAATTTGTAACTTGAGTTTGGAAAAGTGCTCTACAAATAAAGATTATTATTTTATTATTATATCCTAAAAATATTTCAAAGTCAGTGACTGCTGTGTCCTCGGTGGTAGCTATGGCCTTTCTGCAAACTTTGTCCTGTATTCCAGTTAGATGTCAACACATAGAATATGTGAAGATGATCTTGTGGGACTGGCCTGAGCTGAGTTCTCCTTTTTACCGTGAAGAGAGGCTGCTTGAACCTCAGCAGTTTAAAAATAAATGTCACCTTGATGTTGCCCTCATTCTTTGGCTGGGAAGACATGGAGCAAATAAAAGACAGTACGATGCATATACAGTGAGTGTGCTGGTGAGTGTGGACAGAGAGAGAGCTTTGTTCCTCTTCGCTTGGTGTTTTGAGATACAAATTTTGTCAGAGAGTTAGAGATGAGCTCCTGTGAAGACGACCCTTTAAAATAGATAAGCTGTCTGACCTGTGATGTATTATGGACAGGAAGAGAGTTGATGATGAAAACAGTGATTGCTGTTCTTCTGGAGATTATACAGAAGAGAACATCATGTGAGGTGCTGTGCCGGCAAAGTGGAAACAGGAACAAGCACGAAAGTGTTGTAATGGACTCTGTGTAACAGGCAGCAACTCAAGTCATTACCCCTCTGATGCATTAGATACCAGCTGTTTTTGCAGCATTTTTCTTTGACCCTACTAGAAAAAGTCACGTCACATAGATCAATGACCGGCACGTAATCATAGTTCCACAAATATGTCTTTTGCTCTAAAACAGAAATATGACATCCTCAATTTATTTTTAAAGTGAAGCCCAGTTTCCAATATTGACAACTGCCATGAGACTAAAGGTTAGTTTTTGTTGAGGTGAAAACTTTGGCTTGTAAAGGAATTTATTTTTAGGGACCAAATCATATCTGTTTTTCAAATATTGCCTCATTATTATTGTGATCCGGATCTCTTCCCAACTGGACACTTGGCATTACTGAAAGAAACAAAACCCTTCAGGTGCTTCCAAAAATCACTGAGTGAACATTTAATTCTCTTGTGCTTTGTCAGCATTTCACTGAACTGTTATAAAATGCACTTCAAATTATTCTTGGTAAAGTTTTTCAAGATAAACTGTAAAGTTAAAGTTTATAATAGAGCGGTGAATATACATTTGCATTGTTTTACAGATCGCACTGTGCATGCCTTCATCATGCAGAAGTACATCAGCAATAAAATACATGGTCCACCAGGTGCTTGAGGCTTCGTTCTTCCAAAGAAAGTGTCTGTGTGGATGACCTCCTCAACGACCTCCATCTGAGTGAGTGAATTTCAGTAAGAAAAATCATTTAGCTAGCCGTTTGTGTGTTATAGCGGATGGCAAACACACACCCTGAAACCTCACTCAGTCTCTGCAGTGAGAAGCAGACGCTGAAAAGCAATAAAATTGCTAATTTGGATGCTGCGCCTGCAAGCGAGCCTGCACGCCTTTGCTTCTATTGTTCCTCCTGGGGCTCCTGAGGGGATCAGTGATCGTCCCGGTGCCTGTGATCCTGGTGGTGAGAGGATTGGGAGTCCACATCGGGGAAATCTGTCCTGGGCCAGAGCTTCTCCGTCAGACTGCAAAGGGCCTCAAAGCCCCTGGAGATGGAAAAGAGAGGAGGAGGGACACCTCGCACTTCATCCAGCGATTGCAGGGAGCGGGACGGCACTGAGGGGCAGAGGCATGGTTGAGAGGTAAGTGTGTATTTGTGTGAGAGTGTGACTGTGAGAGAGAGAGAGAGAAAAAGAAAGTGTGTGTATGCATGCCTTACAGACCTTTGCTCTCTGTGTACTCTTTCTGGCTGAGTTGGCTGTAAGGGTCTGGCTGAAGATTTGAGGAAATGAGCAGAGAGAGGGAGAGGAGCAAAACCTGGACATGAATGCAGTCCGCAGGACAAAAACAGGCCAAGCGCAGACGACAGAGGGAAATCACAGAAAGCATGGGGAGGAGAAAAAAAAGGAGCTATTAGCCATAACCTACATACCATTGACCACAAAAGATGAGCGCAGGTGCTGCTCAAACATTTGACTCCATAAACATCTTCAAAGTAAACACAGCAGTAGTCAACAATGGACGCCAGGCGATGGTTTTTAATGATCTGCTTGGGCACATCACCACTGATGAAGGCAGGAAACCACTGCCTGGTCTTTAAATATATAATAGACCGAGCTGAGCCTGCTCAGCTATTGTATACAGGTATAGGTATACTATATCTATACCTGATTTATCATTTGGTTGTTTATTATGCTATCTGAGTAAATTCTCAGTGGTGCAAATTAATTGTTACATATCTCACCAGGATGCAGGTCCCTTTGTGTGTTGTTTTGCTGGAGCTGTTAGGGAGGAGAGTCTGTAGCCGGTTTAGCTGCTCCAACAGGACACTATAATACAAATACAGACAGGAAGATGAGGGGGTGCAGGTTCCTTGATATACAGGTATTATTTCTGAGGATAATGGGCAACTAAAACAACAGAAAGAAGAGCAGCACATGGTGGGAAGGTGTGCGCAAGTGGCCTCTTCTCACATTTTATTTCAATTGAGTGCACCTAGCCAGTGTCAGGGAGAAAGCAGCCTAATGAGATGGCAGGATGACGAGGAAACAAAGCCAGATAACACTGTGTCAGTTGGATGGGCTTTGTATTCTGGTAATTTTATACTGAGCCTCCTCAGCTCTGATTTTCAACAAGTTACAAAGTTTTCTTAACCATATTGTCATCAATATAGATCAATGAAACACAGACGTTATGCAACACCCAACAAAGGCACAAAAGAGAAAATGAGACATGACTCATTCAAACAGTGGAGCTCCTTGAAAATAAATCCAGCAGTGAGATGAAACATCAAACAAAAAGATAAACTGAGACATTAAAATCTTCTAGGCAGCACTTTAAAGGTTATTTTGTTGGAATATTTCTTATGTTTGAGATGATGCCAACAGTGGAGTCCATACCAGGAAATGTAAAGATGAGGTGACGTTGAGATGAATTTGGGGTTTTTTTTTTGCAGCCCCACTGATTGTTCACCCTCGAACAGTGATTGTCCAATCATAGCTCAGCCACCATAATAATAATAATAATAATAATAATGGTATCATTTTTTATCCCTTCCAAAACTAAAAACATAAGAAAAGTGTAAGGAATAGACTAAACAGTGTGTTTATATGTCTGTCAAACATATTGGTTATAACTAATACCAGAAAACCTTTTCTATTGTAACTTTAAAATGGAAATAATGTGAAATAACTGTCTAATCTTCTAATATTTGTCATACTTTTATATTAGAATATTAGGACTGGCGTTAGTCTACAACACAAAAACAAGGCTGTTTCTTTATTTCAGTGTCTTGAAACTTAACATGTCAGCTGGAGTCCGTGTTTTTATCCAAACTATGGGAGGAGCTGAAGTGGCCAGCTACAGCTGATAAAACCTGACATCTGTCCACAAACCACTGAAAGTAATAGCTCAATCAATAACAAAAATAATCATCAGTTGCAGCCCTCGTTGGCTTATGTGAGGACTCACTTGTTGGTCTCCTCCAACTGCTGGATCTTTCTCTGCAGTTCGAGGTTGTGAGCACCACATGCAGACATCCTACAGAAAGAGACGGAGAACAAGCAAGAGAAAGAAAATAAAGATAAGACGAGGAAATAAGGGTATTCAGTAATACAGTGTTATGATGTTGTATTGTCGCCCCTTCATTTCTCTCTTTGCTAATATCTGTCTGTTGAGCGTTATCTCGCACCCCATTCTGTCATCCACCGCCCCACCCCACTCCCCCCTCCTTTCTTCTTGTACTGTCTCTCTCGTTTCATTTTCTCACTATGAGTCACCCTCCATTATGGCCCTCTGACTGAGCTGAACCTCCACTGATAACGATAACCTGTTGATACGCTGGCTTAATTATCAACAAATGCTGACTCTGCTCACTCTCTCACCCCCCAACCGTGAAGCTTTTTTTACCCAGCAGCAGCAGAGCTCAAGCCTGAATGAGATGTAGACAGCACATAATTATATATTTAAAATTCCTGTAAGATAATTAAGAATTGTCAGAAGTATGTGTACTATAAACGCTTTGAGGCCCTGTTTTAAGGACACAGACAATTTTACATTTGACCCTGGTCACAGCTTGCCCATCTTTGGACCCCAAACTCTCTGCTCTCATTTGTTTTCCTCCTCTCTATACGTCTCTGATTTCGGATTCAACTATGGTCCACGGCACCTTCACACAGTGTCAGATGACTCTTACAGTCTTAGGTAAATCAATGATGGCAAATTTTAGGATCCAGCGGTGCAGAGTTTAATCTGAAGCTCAACATCAATAATAAATCAATAACGTCAAGCAATCCTGCAAATACGCCGCAGGTGCTTACGGACAATAAATTGTAAGGGTCTGACAAAACAGAAGCATGTGAGGGCATTGTGAGCTGCCCTTTTTTGAGGAGTCTTTCATCATATGAATCGAGCTGTACCACGCTGCACGGTTTGCGGAGGTGTGATGGGCGGATGAACAAAAGTGGGGGCGGCAGGCAGGATGAACAAATCTAGTGACAAAGGCTGGCTGGCTGTGTGATAGGGCTCATTCTGCACAGCCTGGAGGTAAAGGAGAGAAGGAGGAGGAGGAAGAGGACTAAACTGAGCTCCTTCTTGGCAAAACCTCCTGTGCCTTTATTGTGAGATGCTGCTGCTACGCACCATCTTCAGCTTCTGCTTGATCTGCTGAAGCAGAGCAGCTACACTGTTCATGTAATTGGGTGGGAAATCACATTCTGAGGCTGTTCATTCAATATATGATAATACCTACCTACCTATTTTATCCTATTGCTATAATGCTATAAATGTATAAGTATGTTTCTCTATAGACTTCATGGCTGAGTCATCCTCTATTAGTCTGTATGTATAAGGTCAAATGTTACAAGGATAATTGCAATGATTTGTATGCATAGAGCACCTCCCTCTGGAGTTTTTTGGTCATGTGGACAGAAATCCTTTTGTTCTTATCTATTTTATGTGACATACACAGTACTCCTGTACGTGAATAGTAACAGTATGTAGCCAAGCCAGCGGCACATCCTTATGGATGACAATGTCAGTTTGTCAGTCCAGACTGAAATATCTCAACAGCTGTTACATACACTGAGATGAAATGGTGTACAGACATTCACAGTTTCCAGACAATGAAGAGTACTGGCTTTAACAAGATTCTTACTTACTTTTCCTCTACCAACCATGTGTACATGTTTTGGCTGACACAGTCATGAGATTGCAAGCATTTTATTCATTATACTCTCCTTATATTTTCACTTACTGTCTTAATAACTTGACAGGATACTGTAAAGTAGTTGTGGATTATGCTGAAAAAAGGCAAAATTGTCCTATTTCTTTATAGCTTTTCTATAATCCACATTCTTCACACTTTTCATGTGGAGCCATTCACTAAAAATGTTAATCCTCAATGTGCCTGGCTCATAAGGAACAATACTAGTAGATAAACAAAGTAGTAATCTGCACAGCCCATGCATTTAGTTTGGCAACAACAGTCATAACTGGCTGTTATTGCTGTGATGTTTTGGTGCTGAACTCCCCAGATATCAATTAATTTTGTGTCCAGCTCTGTGAAGCCTTTTTCTCTTGAAAAAGTTTGAGTTTCTGTAAGTATTTGGTCTGTCTCTGTTTGGCCAGCCACGACAGCTACTGCTGTCGTTTTAATCCAAACAAACCACTGCTGTTACTGTGAATTTCCTGTGAGCCAGAGGAGCTTTTTTAAGGAAAGACCAGTTTGTCAACAGACCAGATTGGTTATGTGGGTGTAGCCTCGTCCCATTCATGCAACAGTTTGTTAAAATTAATTAAGTGTATGACAAAACAGGCTCATTATAAAGTGCTTCAGGGTATTACAGATAAAAGTTTAATTTTCTAGGTCAAAGTATGCAGAGATAATGTCGTGTTGAGTGAGGATGCTGAGTGCAGCTGGCTCCTACCTTCCCTCCAGACTATCAACATATTCCCTCTTCTTCTTCCGACTTTCTTGAGCCGAGCGCTTGTTGCGGATTTTCCGCCGGATCTTCTTCAAAACCCTCTCTTCAAACTTGTCAGGGAGATGAAACACATGGGAGGATAGTGACAAGAAAGAATAAGGACGAAAGAGATTGTGTTACTGGGGATACAGATTTAGATTTAGATGAGTGTGTGAGTGGATGTGCATGGTGGGTGTGTGTGTGTGTGTGTGTGTGTGTGTGTGTGTGTGTGTGTGTGTGTGTGTGTGTGTGTGTGTGTGTGAGTGTGTGTGTGAGTGTGTGAGAGTGCATGCATGTTTGTGTGTGTGTGTGTGAGTGTGTGTGTGTGTGTGTGTGTGTGTAGAAGTGTCTGCCCTACATACATGTAAGATTGTGTCTGTACCTTGGACAGGGGCAGTTTGCTGGGCAAGTTCACCCCTTCCTTAGCCAGAAGCGTCTTCTCATCCTCATTAAGTACAAGTTCCTGCAGGGAATGCTGGGGGATTCCTTGTGCCTGTGAAACAGATGGACAGAATAGTCCAGTTAAAGCGACTCTCTACACAGCTTATCCAAAGAAGCTCAGAAAATGATGTTTATTTGGTGCAAAGGGTGTTCTCTGACTCTCAGAGCGGCACAGGTCATTACAAGATAAGCGGTTGACCATACAGTTAGCTTATAGCTAACTTAGCTTATATAATACCCTCATTGGTTGGAAATAGATAGTCAGAAATATTTAACTCCTCTCTCCTTACTTTCTGTCCCACGTTTGACAACAGCAGGTCCTTCACTGTGAGCGTCTGACTGGACGACATCGCAGAGCTTTGGTTCATAGTGAGGTAGTATGCAATTCCAAACTCCTCCTGGCAGTCACTGGACTCCCAACCTGCAGATTGAACCAGTAAAACCAGTAAAAACAGCAGGTGATGATTTGCAAAATTGCCACAACGTGCTGTTCAAACAAAACACAAAATGTTTAGCTTTTTTAGCACTGAGGGGTCAGCAATCATCATAGTGAAAAGGGACAATTATTCAAAAGTCTTGTCCTCAAAAGACAACTTCTTCGTGTGATGAATGACAGTTGCACAACCTTTTATCCTTTACAAATTCTAGAAATAGGAAAACCAAATGATGTGCTCTTTGAAAGGGCCTTTAGCCTTTAGAGGCTCAGCCGATAGCGCTCATTATTCTGCAACACAAAGTGCAAATGGATAAATCTCATATTAAGGTCTTTAGTTTGCCCTGGTTCACCTGGCTCCTGTAGTTTTTGTGCAACTTAACCTGACATTTCTGCTCACTATTGAAACAATCTACTGTTTCATGGTTCAGTTTGTGGCTGTACCTCTGACAATGTTTTTTTCCAGCATGTAACTGCCACTGTATATCTGGTCTTACTTAGATCGATGCAAACATCAGCTGTTTTTTCATTTGCTGGCAGCTGACTCTCCAGAGATGGAGGCTGAGGGAAAACCGGCGTGTCAAAGGCTGGAAAATCTGTGCAGGAGCATGGGTGAGGGCTCTCTGCGGGATCTGTCGCGGGGTCCTCGTTGATGCCACTGTCGGTGGTGCAGGGTGACCACAGGGGGGAGGCCAGAGCTGAGGAGCAGTCACTCCCACCCAGCAGAGCGTCCAGGAAGTCATCCGCAGCACTTCCTTCAGGGCTCACGGTCTGAGGAGGAATGCGTACATTGGGTATGAGATATGTATACATCATCACATGTCACTATCACCGCTGACTTAATCTGATCATCATATTCCTACACACGAGCACAGACAAGAACATAAACACTGCAGCTATGCTATTCCCTCAGCTCATTTGTCCATGACTCTTTGCCTCATCGTTGTCAGTCATGCTTACAGCCATACTGGAGAACACAATGAAACTCTAAATGAGCTCATATACATCCTAAGATTCAACTTAATAACACATGACCCTTGCTGAGAATACAGATCACGCTGACTAATGAGATTCAGTGAATTTGTGGTTGTGATTATCTTGTCCCCTGAGTGACTCTGTTCAGAAGCGAACTGTGCAGAATGATCACCGTACTCACGTCATGAATTGTGATAGTCCATGGCTGGTTGCTGTGGCAACTGTTGGTTTCATCTGTGTTCCTGAGCAGGAGGTCATTGAAGTCCAACCCACCATGCACCTGAAATGAACAACTACTCTGAGTGATTACTGTCGAGGTGTTCCCCGGTCTTACAAGCCTGTTTACTGCTTGATTTGAAAGAATTTAACTAATTTCTCCGGTTCAGATGTTTCAAATTGTAGTTCCTCAAGCTCACCTTTGACTAAGATTCTTTAAATCAATACACATCTGCTTTTACTTTCTTTAAAAAAATGTTTTACACAGTAGTTGCACCCAGTGATCCGATTACAAATGTATCTTACCTTGTCTGTAATCAGCGTCATAATTCCAATAATAAAGCAGCGGCTGATGAAATTTCAGTGAAATTCTCCAGTAGGAAAACACAACCAGATCAAGACGATCCTCCGCGGCTTAGGAGAAATGCTTGAGTCTGTTTCAAAGGACAAAGTTGAAATGCCATATGATACAACTGCTTTCCCACAACCCAGGTGATCACCGTCCAATCCAGTGTCTAGCAGAGAGCTGAGAGAGCCAATCAGCACAACAGGAAGAGTCACTGATAGATGAATTAGTCAAAGTTGCTCCCACATCACTTAGAGTGTAATCATTACAAGTCAGGATTGATTCGGTGTGTGGTTTCACATTCATTTTTTGTTGGACAGGATTGATTTTGAGCCCTTTTTTTTTATTGCTTTCAAAAGCAGAGGGTGTACAGAGTCAAGGTTTAACTTCATCTGTCAATGTCAGTAGAAAGCTCAGGTTTATTTCAATTGATTTTTGCCAGAAGCAAACAAAAATTTAAGGCTTTACTCACCAGTTGACTCATGCTTGAAATTGAACATAATTCATGATTATTACAAGTAATGACAGTAAACATCCACTTTTTTCAATATTTCACACAGTACCCTCTCACAGAGGTTCCTAACTTGAGACTGGGACCCCCCCAAAAAAATCCTATTTATACTACATAAATATTTAAAGCCATGCTAGCAGCTCTGTGGCCGCCAATTTTAATCTGTGTTGGTTGGTTGGTTCACCACTTTGGACCAGACTGAAATAACACAACTTTTGAGTGGACTGAAATTTTGTACACTCATTCACAATGAATTGCAATAACTTTGGTAATCCTTTACTGGGGAACTTCACCAGTCTTACACATAAGTTCTACTGCATATGAGAAAAATCTGTATAAAGCCTTCTGTGGCTCTGCAGGGAGGTGTGTGAAATCTCAAATGATCTGAGAAGTGAGCTTACCAGACCTCTGTAGCCTGCTAACGGCTCAAAGCTACATAAACTCAAATTTCAGTCTATGATTGATACTGTGGATACCTGCAAACCCCAAACCTAAAGACATCAAACTATCAAGTCCGTCAAATGTTTCTAACTCTTAATTACTAACCAACTCACTCTGACTCGCTCACTCTAAATTAAATTCAGATTTTCTCAAAATCAGTCCAGTGCATTTCTTTTTTTTTGGAAAACTTTCTTAGTTAGTTCTTAGTTTCTTTGTGTCTTAATGAGGCACTTGTTATCGTTCAGTTTCAGCCGAAGAATGACATCATTTTTTTTACTTTTCTATAGCAGAATGAACTCACCCGGCCTCAATGTCTTATCTTTATTGCCATAATTAGGAGCATCTGTTTCGTGTTATTTCTAAGCATACACACCATAAAATAAAAGAATTACATAATATGTTCTCGTAGCAGTAACACATTTGCAAAGACGTATGTAACTAATTATCAACAGTGGGGAAGAGATTCTTCCAATGGCGGAGCCATTATACTTATCTTCAGTACAGAAACGTCAATGAACAGTCTGTCTTGTAGTTTCCAGAATGAATATCAACACAATCTTTCCATCGCTGCCTTCACTTCAAAGCATTCTTATACTATAAGGAAAGACATTCAGCCTCATATGTACTTCTGGCAACTCAAATAATTGAAAGCAATTTTCTTTTCTTTTCATATGATTTCTTTGACATTTTTACCTTTGTCAGGCGGTTCAAAGTAGACTGAGATGTGATGTGGTTTCTTTTGATTTTTTTTTGTAAGTTTCTTTTGTTTGGGACATTGTTGCCTTTACTAAACCATTCAAAAGTATCAGAGCATCGAGGAAAATGAATATTTGGGGAGAAAAGAAAAGGAGATCTCATGTCTAAAAGATCCTAGGTCAGATTCAGGCCTGGGGTTTATGTGGCACACAGCTGAAACCACTGAGACTCATTTTCTGTATCAATTATAAGATGGGAAGAAACCATTTCTTTCTCATCTTTTCTGAGTGTGTGTCAGGCATGTCACACATTGTGAATATATCAAACACTGAACCAGCTCTGAACTTTGATTTCAACATTTTGTGGAGACAGACATTCATTTTACAGCTCATGTGGGCTTTTTAGATTCTTTACAGATTCAAAATACCATTCAAGAATATTCAAAAATCCTTAAATATAAGGTTATAATGTGTCAGGAAAAAGGTCAAGGTTATTTAAATCAATTCTTGTGGCGCCGATGTGAGTTATGGTTTCAATGATTCATTCTGGACCATGCGGAATAGATTCATTTCTATTTCATAAAAAAAAAAAATCAGTTAATGTGGCCCCTGTATGAACCCCTTCCAGTTGTTGCATTAAAAATCCATGTATCTATAGCAGAGAGCCCAGTATTATCAGTACAGTAATACGCCTAATTGCATGGCAGCGGAGTTTTGCTATCTTTATTGCTGTTCTATCTTCAGATCATAGTTTCAAAGTACATGCAGATGTTATCTAACCATGACATTTTTAAGCACATCTCTGGATACTGAGAGCTCAGTACAGATAATCGCTGTGTTATGGCACATGATATCATACTGTAAACCTGTAGCATCAAGTACATTTGAATGCATGTTACTGAGGGTCAAAAAGAATTATATCCACGGAGTAAAGAAAAGGATATTCCAGATTACATTAAATGTACCATGAAATCAGAGTCAAGCAGCTGAATTCAACTTCAGTTATTTTATTACACCTGCATATATAAATATATATATATTGCAACTCAAAGCCAACAAAAATGATCAAAAGCTTGGGGCGTCGAGTGGCGCAGTGGGTTGAGCAGGCGCCCCGTATGTAGAGGCCACAGTCCTCGCTGCAGTCGGCCCCAGCTCGAATCCCGCATCGAACGACCCTTTACTGCATGTCATTCCCCCTCTCTCTGCCTCCCCATTTCCTGTCTCTCTCTACTGTGCTATCATAAAGGCATAAAAAGTCCCAAAAAATATACTTTAAAAAATGATCAAAAGCTCACATTTCCTTGACAAGGAGATATGAAATGTATGAGATGCTGAAAATACTAAGCTGAGCTGTTCTCAGCTTTTTTTTTCATCATTAGCACAGGTGAGACGCAGAGAGTGTGCTCTAAGCGCACACCGTTATCACTCCACCAGCTGTGAAATGCATGTTGGATGGCTCTTATCTGGAGTTCACTGATAACTCTGATGTGCACAAAATGATTCAATACCTGTGAGCATGTGGGAAATTCCCAGAGCGTCACACAAATAAGAGGAATAAAAGCAATTCTGAGAGTGAAGTTGGTTGCTCATATTTGGCACACTTGTCAACAGGCAAAACTGTAATTTCAGCTTCAGGAAAGGAAGATCAAACACAGATGCAGGGGTGCCAGTATAATATGGTAGCAGCAGCTCAGCACCTGTTTTTATTTCCTGTCTTCCTTGAACATCGTAAATGTCAGATAATGACCTCCCTCTCCAAGAGTGTCACGTAGATAGTTTCTTGACAACGAGACTGGTGTGCAATATAAAAATACAACTGGAACTTTTTTTTTGAGTCACTTAAGCTTTTGATTTTTGATTTTAAGTCTAAATTTAGAGTTTAAAGGGAAGGGGTGCTAAATATATCCACAGGATTACTTACAAATATTTCATCTTAAATTTGATATCATATAGTTTTTAAGTGTTTTCTTATCACTTTTATCAAATCTGATCCTCTCTTCTTCTGTTAAATTTAGGAGCCAAATCAATCCAAACCATTTGGGATGAGTGAAGGGAGTTCTCCACTTTTCGTGTTTATAAAAGCTTGTTTTCATTTGAAGCAGCAGAGTGATAGTCAACATCCTTTGGGGGGAAGCTTCAAGGAGACACCATCTGTACAAAAAATATATATGAGATATGATATGCCTTAAAATTGGCTTTATTTTTGAGGTGAATTAATCTGTGCTCATCTATTTGAGTGACTGCAGACACCTGGAAACCGACAGCATCTGCTCTGAGTATTACTGTTTTAGTAGGTCAGCTCCACTGGTGCAAACGTGACACACAGTGCATGGTGATATTGCACTGAAATGAAAATCATCGGCATCAGGTGAAATGGCCACAGAAATGATTGATTTTTTGCTTTCAATGCAAACATTAATCTCTGTCCCCTCTTCATAAAGGTTGTATTTTTCCCCCTCAATTTTAATTTATTTTGCTTGATCTGGTCAAGCTTTGGAGATGAAAAAGGGCAATAGCACTTTCTAATTAGACATAGTTTGTACAGTGTTTATAAGTTGTAATGGATTGTTTTATTTTATGGTTAAAATTAGTTAATGTTTTATAGATGACTCATAAGTGGGTAGTAATTGCAAACTGGGGATTTCCAGAATGTAAAACACCCATTCTGTTTGATCATATCCACCTCATTTGTCTTTCCTCTTCTCTTCATCAGGACAATTTAACCACTTTCCTTCTGAAAAATAGCTGAAGAACATCTGAACAAGAATCCATTTATCAACACCATATGAACTTTTTTTCCCTCTAGATAGAGATAAACTCATTGAAAATTAGTTAATTTTTGTGACATTTTGTGAATTCCTAATCTCATAAAGTCATGAATTGTTTTTTGTTGTTTTTTTTTTTTTTTTTTTAAAAAGGGTACTTCCATTATAATAAACTGTCATGTCAGGCTCACATCTGCTCTTATGAGAACCCATTATGTGCTTGCAGTCCGTGAAGAATTAATTTTTCATTACAGAGCTATATTTCTCCTCTGAGCGTGTGGACTGGACAGTCCACTGGGGTAATAGGAAACATCCAATCACCTGCCACATACATGTTTGTGCATGTTCATAAGCACACATTCACAATAGCACTTTACTCTGCTTTTCCTCATTCCACTTTCATTTCAATGTCCCAATTCAGACTCTCTCATCGTCACTGAGATGCTTGTCCTGCTCTGCCCTCAGCTGGTAAATGAAAGCTGCAACATCCTGAAACAGTGCAGCCTCCACTTTGTGCACAGAGGGTTTGACAAAGGGAAAGGAGAGCTGCTCTCCCTCCTTAGTAAAGG